AATTCCGTTCGTTCCCGGGTAGCGGCCTTTCTCCGAATGAAAACGTTCCGCAGCTCGGAGAAGAAAATACCAAATAATTCCCGAGTCGTTTTCCTCGAATGCTTGAGTAATCTGTTCCGTATTTGCCGTTTCTAAACAACTTAACTTTCAGGTATTGTTAAAAAATGACCTCGAAACAAAATAAAGTTGGTATACCACTGCAGTAATGAGCATGAGAAGAGATATAAAGCTGATCTTAATATAGTTTTATCAATTCTTTGTATAGAACATCAATTTTGCAAAACTTTTCATTAGTCCTACTGTCGTAGGAGGCTTGAGAAATTCTGTTCCTGTCGGTTATGTCACTCCAACGGAAAACTAAAAGATAAATTTAAAACCTTCATGGGTGCATTCAACAGTACTTCGTAACAAATAAGCCTCAAGGATGCAACTGTTGCTGCTTGGACGAGCAGAAAATTTGTATCGTTTTAAACGTTGTTTATAAGGGAAAGTGCTAATCTCGACAAAGTGTCTTGTGACGTAAAAAGAATCAAAAACGTGTAAGTACACTAAGGACAAAGTATAGTTGTTACAGTCGAAGGCGGACAATCTTTGGAGACAAAAAAAATGCTGGTTAATGCTGTAGCATTCATTTACGCTCTTCCGCTGGCTTGAAAGACAAGTCAAGAACGAAATGAACAGAAAAAGCTAGAAGTAGAATTCGACTTGGTCGATTCACCGGCTTACTTTTATCGAACTCTTGTCGTAAGGACCTTCCAATGATGATTTTAAGGAAGGCGGAGTTTTTGCAAAAGAGCTTTGTCTGGTCTGGGCTGACGGTACACTTCACCGAGTTCTTACACAGCTTTTGCACGTAGCCGTGGACTGTCTCGGCATCGGCGCTCGCATGACGGTAGTAGATGTTCTGCAGACGGATATAGCGCTCCGAGTCAGACGTCATGTCAGGCAGCGTGCCGGGCATCGGCAGACAGCCGTGACCCTCGTTCTCGACAAACAACTTCAACGCACAGCACAGCACCCAGAAACGACCCTCAAACGCGTCGCTTTCGTTGCCGACCAACGACGATAGTGCTGCCTCCGGACCTTCGTGCTGTTCGACCATCTCGAGAATGCGAAGTACATTCATCGGGATCGTTGTCCGCTTTAACACTGTGTTCACGGCGTTCAGCGCCTCAACGAAGTTCTCGCTCTGCATCGAATTCTTGTCGTCCGGCTTCTGCATCATACGCAATATTTTCTAAAGCATATAACGTAGCTGTAAATTTGTATATACATAAAAATAGAGCACATTTGAAGGAAGTAAATTTTGAAAATAATGGCTCCGTGGACAGGCGTCAGGGTCGATCCTGGATTCCAGAATTACGGGACTTTTTTTATTAAACGTGCGCTCCTATGAACATAAACAGAACCAAATATTATTATGCTCCAAGGATGGCAGCCAAGAAACAGGTAGCAAATTGATCACAAATATAGATGGTAGCATACGTAGTGGGTTGGCTTTTCTGATTTGCGACCTTTACAAGTGATTTTAACCGGCAGAAACAGGATCTACAAGAAATTCGACCCAGTATTTTGGGTTTACTAGCAGAGTGCCAGTTTTCGGTACCGCCGGTAAGAATAACAGTCTCATGTTGCTCTGCCGGATTTACACGAAGTGATACCGTCGCACATTTCCTTGTTTCTGAGAATCGGGACACTTCAGACGGAAAATACGACTCTATAGTCATTTAGCCTATATAGTGCATGTATGCAAAAAGGCGGGGGGTGCAACTGACTCAATCTCGCATCAAGAAACATTTACCGTCTAGTCCTGTGATAACGTCAAAGCGGCAAAGGAGAGGATTATACAAATTGGATAACATCGTCGAAGAAAATATTCAAAAATGGTAAACAAATATCACCTCAATAAACTGAAACTTGTTTGTCTTCAACCATTAATCAAGAAAAAACAATAGCGTATTTTTAGAGGTAAGGAATCGACACTTAAGTATATGCGATTAAGCATATTATTTACCATGCATATGAAAACCGCCTAAAAACCAGTGCTGTACAGTACTATATCAAGGCTGCTATGGGAAGGACAAGGAATCTAGATGGTAGCGTCAGAGAGTGTTTGGCTGGGTATTTCCCCCACGGCTGTGATCTTAACGATGTGCTAAAAGAAGTTTGAACCTTAATTCAGTAGGAGTGAATAACGTTAGTTTTTCAGTTGGGAAATAAATCGGCGTTAAGAAGACAAAGATTATGAGGATACCCGCTGCGACCGTCAGCCAGAGGATACTATGGCGCTGTATTTCGATAAACGAGGTGGACTATTTCAAGTACGTTGGAACTGTTTTGATTAACAATGGTGACAGTTTATTCTGAAGCAAATCAGCGTATTAGAATGGTATCAGCGAAGATGGGAAGCTGCATGACATAGAAGAATCAGACTATAAGAACGGCCAAGAAAATCACTATTCTGAAATCAGCCATATTCGCGGTACTGATGTACGTTCCGAAACATCTGTCGCCGTGAAGCGCCACGAAGCTCATTTAGACGACTTTCACCAAGGCTATCTGTGCAACATCTTCAAAGTACGATGCTACCACAGAGTCAGATGATTAGGGAAGAGCAGGTATCGACGATCATTTCTCTGAAAAAACTATCAGAAGAACTCAGAGTCCGCGCCTGACATGGTTTAACAAAACGGCCGAAAAAGAGAATGGAAATATGTTCAATATATTTCTCGCTTTTGAATTTCCTGTAGATGCACTGGAGGATAATACAAACATGGAAACATCAGCGACCAGAAGCATGACGTTGGCCGTTGCAGTTAAGGTTTTAATGCCAACATGAGCATATCTAAAAATAAGACAAATTTGACCTACTCTGCTAGCCTAAAATGATGTTGAAAAAGTAACAACAGAAACAGCATACAATACATAAACACAGCAGACATCACTCACTGCATTGAAAATAAACAGGAAATATAGGTTTCAAGAACTAAAGGAATATTTAAACGCAAATTGCTTAAACATGGCAGCATAACGCTGCAATCTTTTGCAACTACAAGTATGAAGTACGGATGTTACAACGAATCTTGATACCGTCCCGGGGCTAAATTTACTCTCCTACCCTACCCCCCCCCATTACGATGTAGGGATCAATGGTTACGTTATACAGGTTAGTTACTGCGGCGTACTTGTCTCAAGCGTACACAATTTGTGCAAGTTAACGGTACCAACTCACAGCAGTCGCCCAAAAATCTCGACGTACAGTAAATTCCATCTTTCCTCACTACCTTTAATCTCGTACACCAACAACTTTAGACTTGAAATATACGCATGAGAGCACTGTCATTGCAGTTGTCAGAAATCACGAAGACTTCAAAGAATGTCAGAGCGACATTTAGAAACTGCTACACTGGCCTAAGTCGGATTTATTTTTAACATGACTAACCAAGTATGTTGAGCGTGTTGTGAGTCTTTTTTCCTATAAACATACAGAACTACGATCTCGTCAACACCACTAGAAAAAACTACTCTAATTCAAGCACTAAAAATGCGGTAGTTTGGTGTAGCCATTAATGACAGGTCAGCATAGTCTGATAACATGATTTACGTATCAATAAAATGAGGAAAACAAACTTTAACTTTCACCGTTTACGCTTTCAAGGAGCTTTCTCTGATTTGTCCTGACAATCTACAAGCTAATATATAACGCAAATTATCATTAATGCTTCTCCAGTCTGCTCAGAAGCCTTGGTAGAAGGTGATTTTGCACTCCTAATCAGTGTATTAAGTAAATTTGCTGCATCCAGAGGACTGCAATAGGGCATTGTGGCTTAACAGCTTGCTATCCTCAAACTTCTGCTACATGAGGGAATTTCATGATCCTAAAATGAAGAACTTAGTTCTAAAGAAACGCGGTGATACCGCATCCAATAAGCCTCATGAATCCTCCTCTTGCCTTAAAGTGTCGTCTATTGCTTACTATATACATTACGTAATAACTATCTTGCTGGTGTGCGCTACATATATGGGGGAGGGCTGAAATCAGAAAAAAGCATCTTCCTGCATAACAGTAATAAATACTGAAAGCAATGCTGAATTACGGAATTACTGGCCACTGAATGATTCAGATAGTGAAAAAGAAAGGTGAAGATCGTGATATCTGGTAAAAAACTTGTTGAACTTTTACTGGTACCAAACCAAATCGGACATGACTGGAAGCGGATACGTCATAGTTAGCAGAGCGAAAGACAAGAATCAAATTTTGAATGCATTCCCTGAATTTCTGATCAGTATTATGTAATTAATTACGTAGTATTTCTTATCTTTTCTGCCGCTATCCATGGAATCTGAAAACATATCCGCTTTTGATTTCTCATATTTCGAAAGGAGCCTAGTCATTGTTCGACCTTCGTCTCATCTGCTCAAAACTGACAGGCACAG